TAATTTAATATATTTATTTTTTACCAATTAGAGGGTGACACGTGTGGCCCTCTGGTGTAAAGAAAATTAAGAGTGGTAAAGGAGCACAAAGGATTTTAACCAGTAATCATTGGGGGAGAAGGGAGGAGTCCAACCACTAGGTCAAGTTCATTTTTTTTGTTTAAAGTAGACTACATATTGTATATATATCTTGTTTCATAATATGATCTTAAATTCTTAATCATAAAATATTTTTTATCTTAACTTAAATATTTAAATTTTATTCTTATAAAATTTTAAAATATATTTTCAATAAATTAAGAAAAATAATAATAAAATATATATTTTTATAGTTAATAATTTAAACATATATTTTAAATATATATTCTTAACTTAAATAATAAGTTTGGTCTAATTTAAACCAAATATATATATATATTATATACATTAAGAAAAAATAATAAAATATATATTTTTATAATTAAGAATTTAGATATTTTAAATATATATTCTTAACTTAAATAATAAACTTAAACACACACATATATTCGATAAATTAAGAACATAATAATAAAATATATATTTTTATAGTTAAGAATTAAAATATTTTAAATATATATCCTTACTTCAAATAATAATCTTGGCCTACTTTAAACCAAAAAATATATATTCAATAAATTAAAAAAATAATAAAATGTATATTTAAGATTATACTAAAAAATGAACTTGGCCTAGTAGTTAGATTTCACTCTTCTCCCCCAATGATTATTGGTTCAAATCCCTTGTGCCCCTTTACCACTCTTAATTTTATTTTCATCTTATTGGTTGAAACTAAATATATTATATTAAAATAAATTAAATCCTCCAATCTGGTGGTGACACGTTTTATGATATTTGATATTAGTAATATGTGACATGATATTTTAATTTACCCTAATTTTTGTGTATTATGCTATGTGTTCTCTCCCCCGAGTCCCCACAGCACCTTCTTCACTCAGCATGAGTCCCTTAGTCTTCCTCCTCTGCATGCATTTTCATTCTCTTCTAGATAAGTGCTTCGTCAACAAGGATGCTTCCTTGAGAATTAATATACTTTATATTTTACTTGGTAATTGCTTTCTTAAAAATATTTATATATTTCAGATTTTTTATATTTTTAATTAAAAATATATTTTCATTATTCTAAATTTTTATTAGTTTATTATACCTTAAATTTTTTATAAATACGTTTCTTTAACATAAAATCTTATATTTGTGTTGAAAGACACTATGACATCAGCATATCTTGTCTTATGTAAGAGAAATATGTCATTTAACCCCGAGAAAAGCACTTTTTATAAATATTATATATTTTTATGTATATTTTGGGAACATTAAAATAAAATTTTGAGATTTTAGAAAAATTGGGTGATCAAAATGATATGAAGGGAATAAATTAAGAACTAATGCTGTACTTTTTCCAAAAATAAAAAAGCAATAACTTATGAGGAAAGCACTTCGTATTTACTTTTCCATATTTCAGAGGAACTTCTTGCAATTTAAGTAGTTGGAAGTAAGTATAGATACACCAATCATCTGTTCTGTTTCAACCAGATACAAACCCCAAACCATCACTCTTTGATCTTCAAGAATCAAAATCCTTTCTTTTTGTTTCCCTTATTTGGCGTTAACCCAATAGTCAAAAGCTGTTGAATTCTCTGGTAAATGTCTCTCTTTTTCCTTGCGAAACCTATTTGTTAGCTTTCTGAATTATAAAATTATGGGTGCTTAAAGAAAGAATGAAGATTATTATTATTTTTTTAGTTATTTATGGGTATACTGTCTTTTTTCCCCGAAAATTTCATATTTTGCTGCTAAAAAAATTGAGTTTTGTGTCTCACTAAGGTATTTATCATGTTCCATCATGTTTAATGTTGTCATTTTGACATAATCTATTTATCTTAGTTAAGATTTCTCTTATTAGATTTTGTTGGATTATTTGTGTTTTGGTTAAAACTGGACATTGTTTCCCATGTTGTCTAAGGTTTTATAAGTATATTATCATTGCTATGAAATTCCTTAGGAATGGTTGTTTCCTGTAGGTGTTGGAATCGAGCATCATACATGGCTTACATCCCTCCACACAAGCGACATTCGAAGGATTCGGATAGGTCGACTCCGACTCCAGAGTCGCTTGCTCCCAGATTTAATAGGAATGTACAGTTAAGGGCTTCAAAGTCTAATGCTGATAGGAGTGGAAAGATTGTATATTCGAACTATGCAATCTCCAGATGGTTTGCTGTTGGTTTGGATGATGAAAACAATGACACTCTTGCTGCTCATCTGAAACCAGCTTCAGTTGAATCTATCGAGAGAAGAACGGGCGAGAAACCTCTAATCTTGGTGAAAAATAATTCAGATAAAGGTTGGTGGTACACCATTGCCTAAAATATGAGTAAAGCTATTTCTTATATTGTGGAAAAATGTTCTTAAACTACATCAATTTTTTGTCCCCAATTTTTGTAGATGAATCAAAAGGTATCCCGTGGTTGTCTATTGCAAAAAATGTGCTGCCAGACCTGTTATCTTCCTTTGAAAAGGTGAGGGCTGAAACAGAATGCGAAGATTCGAAAGATGTAAAGCTGTCAATGGTGGCTAGGGTTGGCAAAATACTTTTTCAAGGGTAAGCATTGATCACTTTGTTATTGCTTCATCAAGAGATATTGTTGAGTTTTAATGGCTGCTAGTGTCATGTCTGCTAAAATATAGTACATTATTGAGTGTTTTAAGTAGCCATTTGTCCTTGAAGGAGGTTAAAACAACTCTGTTTTAGTATTTTGTTACCTACTATAATATCTAAAACATGTTTATATATATATGTGGTGCAGGAGCCCTTCTGTCAACCTGGAAAGTGTCAGTAAAGATTGCATTAGTGAGACGGTGTTGAGGAATTTGAGAAAATTGTTTTACTCAAATGTTCCTTCTTCATACTCGGAAAACATTATAGCTGAAGTTGCCTCAAATATTAGAGTTGATTTTGCAGATACGAAAGATATATACTACTTGAGGGTATATTTTCCCACTTAATTATACTTTTTATTGCAATATAATTGATTATGTTAGCTATTGAATGATTTAACATGTTTATGTGTAGTTGTCTGATAGCACACAGCCAGCTTCAACCATTTCGTGCAAATGTAGATTAAACGATGATAAAAAACTCCAGCTTTACAAGGCAAGTCTTCCACTACCATAGGCCAAGATATGCACCAAATGTTGACTCTCCTTTTTCAGTCTCGATTTTTATCTGAAATTATGGAATGCATCAACATATTGCCATTTGTGGAGGCATACCATGAAACAGATTTTTTTTGGTATGTAGGTAGAACTAAATCCGGTACGTGACATGGTTATAGACATATCATGCCTGGATATGAATCTCGATTTGAGGTTGTTGATGACCCACAAGAGAATCTTAACTTCTATGACTGTAAGTTAGTTTGGATTCTTCTAGTCTCTAAGGACATTAGTTTTATCAGCTCACTTATTTCGTTTACTCTTCAGGAAGATGAGATGCAAAGCATTCAAAATCTGATTGATTCAGCAGTCCTAGACCCAGAAGTGAAAGGTGGGTTAAGATGGCCCGTCGGAAAAGCATCAAGTGGGAATAGATACAATGTCGTTGGTGTTTGGCACACAATGACTAGAGCTTATGAAAACTCATCCATAAGACTCAAGGTACGACATGCCGACCGTTTTGATTTCAAAACTACATACGGGGAAGCATCAGAGGAAGTTTACTTGAAGTTGAAAGGAATCCTTTCAGGACTGACGGTAAGCAGCACTGCTTTCCGTTTTCCCCATTTCTTTAAACGACCCCGAATTTTATCATGCAACCTACAGACATATTGCTTGAAGACAGATGTGATTATGTAACATTACTTTCAATTTTGTTTTCAGGAGCAGGATGTTGAAGAAGAAGTGATCTTGGGCAAACTTAAAGACAACTTAAGTTTGATATGGCAACACTTCATGAGCTGTGAACCTTTTCTAACCTAAAAGAATCATGATGATGATCTTCCTCTCTTCACTTAAAATGCTCACTTTCTCTTAGCTGTGTTGTTTCCGGATTTTGTTGTAAAACGATAGTAATAGTTTGATCATGGCAAGCATCAACTAGTGATATGCCACAGTGTGCATGTATATGCTGTTTTGATGTATTGTGGAAAGTAATAGTCTGGTTTTGCTTTCTTCCTTGGTTGCAGTTACTCCATATATTGTTTCACTTTCATTTTCGATCAAAGTTTGTGTAAATTTAAGATATATCCATCATTATATCATTCAAAATCAATTTAAAATTTCTCAACTTTGCTTTGATAAGTAAACTATGCAGCCCATTGGGTTTGGACTAATTTGTCAAAGCCGAACTTAAAATAGAATAGTACTCGAACCAGTTCAGTTTAAATGTCCGAACTTGGCCACCGTCTGGACCGTTGTTTAAGATACAAAGACACCATTTGTTTCCTCGAAGTTTTCACTTCCAAAAGCATTCATTTCTTTGACTCAAACCCTCATCTCCCAGATTTTACTCAAATGAAATTCGGTCTCTTTTTAAACGCAAACCCCAAAGCGAACACTTCAGTTCCCTTCATTTCATTCCCTTAGAAGTCAAAAAACCAATTTTTCTGGTTGAAATCACCCGTTTCTGTAAAACCCTTTCCTTGCTTCATCCTACTTTGCTCGTCCAATCGTTCTACCAATTCAACTTTGAAGATTAAATCTTTCAAGGCCTATGGATTCCCCCAGACATCAAAAATCAATCTTGGAGAAGAATCTAACGAAAATTACAATGTGGGAGTTGGGAACCCAATTCTCCCAACTTTCATTTCAACTCAAAAGACGAGCTTGAGTGATCAGGCCTTCTATCTGTTGGCTTTTATTGCTTGTACGGTATGGTTTTTGAGGTTACTGTGTGCTTTGGGTAGTTTTTCTTTCTGGATTTCCTTTTTAGGAGCTTTTTATTGCAAATATTTTCTGTTTTCTGTGGAATTGCTTTTTCTTAGATATTTAAGAATGTTTGAGAAAAATGCTTGCTTTATATGATTGATTGTGGCTATGGGTTTAGTACATGTTTAGCATCTTCTTTGTAGTGGTGTTTCTAGCTTGCTTAGCATATTTTTGGGGCTAATGATTGCGAACTAAATAGATTTTGTTGATGCATATCAGGAAGAATTTAAGTGTTTGGTGTTGAAATTTTCCATATTGATTTGTTCATTATATTGTCTTGAATGGTACCAAGTATCAAGCAATATGTTTGATGTTAAGATTTTCTGTTTAGCAATCACTTGTGTGCATGCAGGCATCTGTGGCGTTTACAAGTATGGTCATTGCAGCTGTTCCAACTCTCGTTGTAAGTTTTCGCACATTGTATCTGTCCCTCGTGAGTCGAACTGTCAAGATTCACAGGACAATTCAAGCTTGTTCAACCAGATTGTGATGTGATTAAGTGTGGTCTGCAATTTATATGTTTATTTCTTTTTGTTTTGCTGGTTTTGCTGGTTTTGCAGGCACTGGGAAGAGCCGCGGTTTCTCTTTCCAAGCTAGCAGATACAGCGCGAGAGGAGCTTCTCGGCACCATGGCTGCGATCAGGCTCTCAGGCATGGAGATCAGTGATCTTACACTCGAACTAAGTGATTTAAGGTGACAATCGAATTCTGATTTTCTTGGAACTGAGACATAATTTTTAAAATCGACCGCGACATTCTGAATCATATTGGGAATCTTTCTCCCATCTAGGATGAAAGGTTCTCATTTCTTTTTCATGTTCGCATAGCTTTTATGGTCTTGTGTATAATGCTTCAATTTGCTACTTTGGCACATAGCCAAGAGATTGCAGATGGTGTCAACAAATCGGCTAAAGCTGTGCAGGCCGCTAGAGCTGGAATTCGGCAGATCGGGTCACTTGCTCGCCAGCAGACAATATGTAAGTCCAAAAGTTGCTCTTGAACCTCCCCTCCCCCTTTATCCTGCAACCCTGAAATCGAAGGCTTGATACCGATTTCTTTTATCCAGCGATCATACAAGAACGGGCTAGTTTGCCTGTCATCTCTTTACAGCCTGTTGTTGCAGGGGCTGCCAGAAAAACTTCTCATGCTGTCGGTCAAGCCACAAAGGCTATAATGAATATGATAAATCAAGGAGATTTGAGCTCGGAGAACGACGGCGATAACAGCAATGACGGGTGATGTTAGACTGTAGTACTACACAATGGAAACCGACCCTCCCAACTCCTTTAACCTCAGCCTTGTCAAGGATTTTGTATATGCTGCAATTCATGAGCTTGTTGCACTTGCTATGTTCATTTGTTTTAGAGATGGAAAACTAGGTAAACTAAACCATGTTTTTGACAGATTTAACTTCTCTCTGTGTGACTTTGGCGTGGGGGATAAATGTTTGATGACGAGAATTAAGTTATACAATATTTATTATGAGTTTATTATTTATTATTAAGTTTTTTACTGGAAATTTACCATTTGTTACAAAATCATTTATCGAATTAATTGTTTATGAAAGAATTTCTTTTGCTAATACGAACAATTAAATTTAAACAAAAATTCGAATGATTTAACTTACTTTAATTCAAAAATATTTAAATGAAATTTAAATTATATAATACGACTTGTTAACTTGATTAATTTAAAAAATTTACTAGCTCGATTTAATACTCACATTTATTAAGAATAAGTTTGATAAATTAAAGGGCAAATTACATAATTTCTCACTGAATTTTGCTCTCTTTCATATTTTGCTCACCGTACTTTCAATTTTTCTAATTTCTTCATTGAATTTTCGAATTGTACGTATTTTTCTCACTCTGAACTATTTTATTATTATTTTTGTATGATGTGGTATTTATTATTATTATTATTATTAAAATATAAAATAAAAACAATGTCCACTGTTCGTTGGCTTTGGATGCCACCATCAACCACCATAAATGATGATCGTTTGGTCCTAGATTTCATGGGTCGCTTCGTCTCGGCCCTCTGAGTCTAAATATGGTGGTTATTTCACAAGAAAATATCTCAAAACTCATGAATCTCGACGGAAACATTTCGGTTTCCTCACTTTTGATCTCTAGTTCATGGACTTCAAAATACATTTTCGACAAAATGGAGGTTGGATTCGGACTCGGGGGATCGAGGCGAAACGGCCCATGAAATTTGGGTCCAAAATGACCACCATCTACGACTATCGACGGTGGCATCTAACGCCGATGAATAGTGAATGACCACCGCTAATTTTTATTTTACATTTTAAATTATTTTTATATTAAATAATAATAAAAAAATGGCACATCATATGAAAATAATAATAAAATAATTTGGAGTGAGCAAAACAGAAACAATCTGAAAGTTCAGTAAGGAAATTAAAAAAATCGAAAGTACGATGAGCGAAATAGAAGTGAGAGTAAAGTTCAATGGGTAATGATGTTTTTTACCCTAATTAAATCAATATTATTTTTTTATGTAACTATCGATAGAGCGAGCTCCTAACTATTATGTCTGGGTGCGAGGTTAAGGTTTGAAAGAAGGCTAACCCAATTTAAATTATTCTTCTTTTATATGATCTGACATTCCTAGTTAAAGAAAGCAAGAAGGGATTGGATACGTAAAACGTCTAGTTTCCACACATTGTCTTATCCTAATTTTACTTGTCCACGAACTGCTAAGTGTCACACGTATCAGCTGTATGTGCAACCATCATGCACAGCAGTAGTCATGCACAACAATTCATTTACACTAACATTGCCTGCCTGCACCCTTCTACTTTATAAATCATGCCCAACATTTAAATAAGCAGAAGAACCCACCATTTTTAACCTTCTCTCCATTTAGTTAAGGTCAGTTCTGTTATCCTTTACTATTCAAAAGAAATCACCTTTTCTTTAATTTGTTTCTCCTTCTAAGTGATAGTTGTAAGTTTTTTGGATTGAACGACGCAATATATTTTGTTCTCTGAACTAGGAAACTTGGATATTTGTTGCTTAGTCTTTTCTTGCTGGGAAATGGATATGATTCATTAATTCTGTTTGGAAGGGAAATGGGTTTTATTTCTTTTGAATATTTTGCTTCTTTTGTTCATTTCTTTTGACTTTTAAGTAACAGAGGTAAGAGAGAGAGTTCAACGTGATCGGTGTGAACAAATACTAATAGGTGATTGCTTTTTATATTTGCTCAAAACAACATAGTGTTGGACTTTGAAGTTTAATCATAAGGTTTTTGTTTGATTCTAACATTTGTACTCTAAGAATCTGAATCTATTCCTTTGAATTTCTCCTGCAATAATTGCAGAACTTATCAGAAATGTAGCTTATTGATTTGTTTTGTGTGATCAGGTTGTATGTTAAGTTGAGGTCCTGAAATATGGCAGAAGCTGCTCGTCTAATATGCTTCTTCCACGGTGAAAGTGTTAAATTTCCATGCAGAACATCGGGATTTACTCGTAACGAAAGGTTTCGCCGAAGGCCAATAGTTCACGGCGTAGTGCTACTGAAAATTCAATCTAGTTGCAGAAACTCAAGGTACTCTCAGTTAATTAAGCCAAATAAGGATTATTCTGCATCAAGGTACTTTCAGTTAATTAAGCTGATTCGGAAGCTGCGATAGATTGTTTCGCAAGTAATTCAACCAGTTCAATTGCATACATTTGTTTTGTTAGGAAGCTTATATCTCTATAATTTACATGGATGCTCAATCAGTTCCACGAAATAGGATGTGATCGGTTGGCCAAAATATTGAATCAGCTTTCTGTTTCATCAATGATTTGTTTTTTAAACTTAGGGTGTGTTTGATCCGATGTTTGATAGTTGTAATTTGTTTTACGTAAAACATTTTCCAATGTTTGATAGGTATAATTGATTTTTCTAATGTAATTCATTTTCCTAGTTTTTTTGTATTTTCTGTAAAATGTTTTATCATTTGATTTTCCGTAAAATATTTTCTTGACTTTAAAGTATAGAAGTACTAAAAAATTATATTATGTTATTTTATTTATTTATTATTAATTTAATATTTTAGTTTCATTTTAATAAAAATATTAATTATTAAAATATTTAATATTATTATAATATAATTTTAATAATATTTTTAATATTATATAAATTTGTACTCAGATATATTATAATAATATATAATGTTTAATAATTTAGTATTATATTAATAAAATAATAATAACTAAAATTAAGAATGTTCAAACGGTTAATTCGGTCACATATTGAATTGAATTACCAACCAAATTAACTGAAATTTTTTTCTTAAATAGTTAATCAAATCAATTTTTTAAAATATTAATCGAACCATTGCCTAAAATAATTCAGATAAAGGTTGCTGGTACACCATTGCCTAAAATATGAGTAAATCTATTTCTTATATTGTGGAAAACTTTTCTTAAACTACATCAATTTTTTGTCCCCAATTTTTGTAGATGAATCAAAAGGTATCCCGTGGTTGTCTATTGCAAAAAATGTGTTGCCAGACCTGTTATCTTCCTTTGAAAAGGTGAGGGCTGAAACAGAATGCGAAGATTCGAAAGATGTAAAGCTGTCAATGGTGGCTAGGGTTGGCAAAATACTTTTTCAAGGGTAAGCATTGATCGCTTTGTTTTGCTTCATCAAGAGATATTGTTGAGTTTTAATGGCTGCTAGTGTCATGTCTGCTAAAATATAGTACATCATTGAGTGTTTTAAGTAGCCATTTGTCCTTGAAGGAGGTTAAAACAACGCTGTTTTAGTATTTTGTTACCTACTATAATATCTAAAACATGTTTATATATATATGTGGTGCAGGAGCCCTTCTGTCAACCTGGAAACTGTCAGTAAAGATTGCATTAGTGAGACGGTGTTGAGGAATTTGAGAAAATTGTTTTACTCAAATGTTCCTTCTTCATACTCGGAAAACATTATAGCTGATGTTGCCTCAAATATTAGAGTTGATTTTGCAGATACGAAAGATATATACTACTTGAGGGTATATTTTCCCACTTAATTATACTTTTTATTGCAATATAATTGATTATGTTAGCTATTGAATGATTTAACATGTTTATGTGTAGTTGTCTGATAGCACACAGCCAGCTTCAACCATTTCGTGCAAATGTAGATTAAACGATGATAAAAAACTCCAGCTTTACAAGGCAAGTCTTCCACTACCATAGGCCAAGATATGCACCAAATGTTGACTCTCCTTTTTCAGTCTCGATTTTTATCTGAAATTATGGAATGCATCAACATATTGCCATTTGTGGAGGCATACCATGAAACAGATTTTTTTTGTGTGTGTGTGTAGGTAGAACTAAATCCGGTACGTGACATGGTTATAGACATATCATGCCTGGATATGAATCTCGATTTGAGGTTGTTGATGACCCACAAGAGAATCTTAACTTCTATGACTGTAAGTTAGTTTGGATTCTTCTAGTCTCTAAGGACATTAGTTTTATCAGCTCACTTATTTCGTTTACTCTTCAGGAAGATGAGATGCAAAGCATTCAAAAATCTGATTGATTCAGCAGTCCTAGACCCAGAAGTGAAAGGTGGGTTAAGATGGCCCTTCGGAAAAACATCAAGTGGGAATAGATACAATGTCGTTGGTGTTTGGCACACAATGACTAGTGCTTATGAAAACTCATCCATAAGACTCAAGGTACGACATGCCGACCGTTTTGATTTCAAAACTACATACGGGGAAGCATCAGATGAAGTTTACTTGAAGTTGAAAGGAATCCTTTCAGGACTGACGGTAAGCAGCACTGCTTTCCGTTTTCCCCATTTCTTTAAACGACCCCGAATTTTATCATGCAACCTACAGACATATTGCTTGAAGACAGATGTGATTATGTAACATTACTTTCAATTTTGTTTTCAGGAGCAGGATGTTGAGGAAGAAGTGATCTTGGACAAACTTAAAGACAACTTAAGTTTGATATGGCAACACTTCATGAGCTGTGAACCTTTTCTAACCTAAAAGAATCATGATGATGATCTTCCTCTCTTCACTTAAAATTCTCACTTTCTCTTAGCTGTGTTGTTTCCGGATTTTGTTGTAAAACGATAGTAATAGTTTGATCATGGCAAGCATCAACTAGTGATATGCCACAGTGTGCATGTATATGCTGTTTTGAAGTATTGTGGAAAGTAATAGTCTGGTTTTGCTTTCTTCATTGGTTGCAGTTACTCCATATATTGTTTCACTTTCATTTTCGTTCAAAGTTTGTGTAAATTTAAGATATATCCATCATTATATCATTCAAAATCAATTTAAAATTTCTCAACTTTGCTTTGATAAGTAAACTATGCAGCCCATTGGGTTTGGACTAATTTGTCAAAGCCGAACTTAAAAGAGAATAGTACTCGAACCAGTTCAGTTTAATTGTCCGAACTTGGCCACCGTCTGGACCG